CACAGTATCAATGCTTAGATAGGAGAGACAGAACAGGCAGTGTAGGGGTGATCACCGATTGGCCAATCAGTGATCACATGCAGAGTAGTAAGCAAGATGTCACTTCTGACATCATTGCTTACTATGTGTGAAATCTGTGAATGATCACAGAGGTCACATAGTACAGGGCTATTCACAACAGCCTTGTACCATGTGACAAGCTGTGACCAATCACAGCTCACACAGTATTTATCAATGGCTGCAAGAATGTAGCCAGAGTGAAGGAGAAATGATTGCTTTTACAGCCTTTATGGGTGTAAAATAATCAGTGTAAAAAAAAAATCTTCATCATCCCCCACAAGTAGTACAGTGTCACCATGGTGACATTGTACTGCTAGGGTGACAGTAGGTAAAAAAAAACATAAATAATATTCTAAAAAACATTTTTTTTAAAAAATTATAATTTTTGGTTATACACTAATTTGGGCTTTTTTTTACTAAAAAGATAACGGAATACATTTTGGCAAAGGTTTATGTTGAAATATTATTTATTTGCAAAATTTTATAAGAAAAAACTTTTTTTTTCAAAATTTTGGGACTTTTTAATTTATATAGCAAAAAAAAAAAAAATCCCAGCAGTGAATAAATACCATCAAAATAAAGCTTTATCTGTCTCAAAAAAATGCTAAAAAATTCATATGGGTACAGTGTTGCATGACCGCGCAATTGTCATTCAAAGTGTGATAGCGCTGAAAACTGGCTTGGACAGGAAGGGGGAAAAGTGTCCGGACTGGAAGTGGTTAAAGAAGCGATCAATTCTTTATTTTGCAAATATTTTTCTTAAAATTGAACATTTTATCTGACAATTGTTCCATCTCAGCAGAAATGTTTGTAGATTGAGTTTCTATCTCATGGAGTTTTCTCTGTAAGTGTTTAACGTTCTCAGCCTCTGGCCTGATATACAATTTGCTTTATTTAATTGTTCTGCCAATTCAAAAATGACATCAAGAAGTTCTGGCCGAGATTTATGCAGCCGTGTTTCTTTTTCTTTCTTTGTTTTATCCTCAGCTATTATATACAGATAGCCAGCAACACGTGAATCATCAGAGCAGATATCATTTGTATACCCTGGAATCCTACTCCACATTTCAGTTACCCAATCATTCATATCCTGCTTAATGTCCAACTTATCTTTCACAAAAAGACATCCCCTGAAATGTCACCAATTCTCTGACATCTCTCTGACTCAGAATAGCTTCAGATTCGGCACCAGAATGGCTACATCTACTAGGAACACTTCTCACATCAGACACATTTTCTGTATTTGTAACTGACAACAGCGCTTTCAGAGCCACTTTATCTGTGAGGAAATAATCCGTATACAATTCATGGAAACAGGCGGGATCTGGAATGAAGGAGATTCCCTACTAATTCTCACAAAGTAACCGACATCCCAGTTCTGTATTTGTGATAATTGGAAGACAAAATAAAACGCAATAATGTGCAAAAATATATATTTATTAAATAATATAAAATCAGTACAAAATGGGGATGAAATATAATAGGTGATGATAAATAATAAACAATACAAGATAACAGTACAATGATCTAATCCACAATAATGGGGAGAAATACAAGCCAGCAATTACTTCCAAATATTAATGAATTACATCCAACTGTCTGGAAATGTCGTGTAAGAAATCAGTAACTCAGCAACATGTGACAACAGATATACAAATCCCCCCCGTGATCTCTCTACACCCAGATATTCAACGCTCAACGTGTACCTTGCCATGACTTGATCTGGAATCCCATACACAGGCCAATCCAATCCGCTTACAATCTGAGATGAAGATGTAATGTTACATGAAGTAGTCTACCTTGTCATATATATACTGTATACATCCGGATAAACCATTGACTAGAAGCCAGAATCAGCTTCAGGGATATGTAAAATCAATCTTCCCCAGAGGAGGGAAATGATAATAATTTATACTGCAGGTAAAATGACGTCACATCCCCTCCTGTGCTCACCAGAACCGTTATCGGACTAAACAATGTATCTGGAGATATAAGGGGAGTACAAGTTATCTGAGGAAAATGAAAGTTCTAGTTCCCAATATGGACTGTATGGTGTCAGTGATGTCAGCTTTCAGTGCGCTCACTTCAGGGGGTGTCTGTGTCCGTCTGTTGTCCCTTGTCTCCTGTCTTGTGAGGTCTTGTTTTGTGATGTGTCTCCTCTCTCTGTCCGTCTCTTACTTTTATCCCCCACATAAACCTAGGCGGGCAAAGCTTATCTTCACCTAAAAGTGACCTCAGACTAGGTGTCATTTCTCTATGTAAAGATTTCAATGACCTGAAGGGGGCAGTATAGGATTGGGAAGGATTTGGGTCTTTCTGGAACATGACAAGGGTTGACCTTTAACCTTGGCTAGTAAGGACATCACTACATTACCAGATAACGGCTTTTCTGACGGTTTGGTTTCAGACAAACTTGTACCAACGTCACTGCAAATAATGTATTAAGTGATTCTGGAGAAGAGAAATCTACCTATACATCCTACAAAAAGATGAGGTCATTATACTGAGACTTCTTATCTCACGTCTTCTGTAACATAACAACGTTGTCATACAATGAACTCAAACTGATACTTTATAATGTTAGAAACAGAATATTATTATTATTATTATACAGGATTTATATGAGCCAACAGTTTGCTCAGCGCTTTACAATATAACGGAGACAATACAGCAACAATACAGTTCAATACAAGAGGGATAGGAGGGCCCTGCTCCTTGGAGCTTACAATCTAGGAGGGAGGGGCTAGTGGTACAAAAGGTAGTAACTGTGGGGGATGGAGTGGTAGGAGGAGTAGAAGATTCCATTATTAGCTGAGGGCAGGATAGGCTTCCCTGAAGAGATCGGTTTTCAGAGATCGCCTAAAAGTGAGCAGAGTAGGCGATAGTCTGATAAATTGTGGTAGAGAGTTTCAGAGGATGGGGGAAGCTCTGGAGAAGTCTTGTAGACGAGCATGGGAGGAGGAGACAAGGGAGCTAGAGAGCAGGAGGTCATATGCGGAGTGGAGAGGACGGTTTGGGTGATATTTGGAGACAAGATCGGTGATGTAATTTGGGGCGGAGTTATAAATGGCTTTATATGTTATTGTTAGTGTTTTTAATTTTATCTGTTGGGCAATGGGAAGCCAGTGGAGGGATTGGCAGAGAGGGGTGGAGGACACTGAATGGAGGCCAGTGGAGGGATTGGCAGAGAGGGGTGGAGGACACTGAATGGAGGCCAGTGGAGGGATTGGCAGAGAGGGGTGGAGGACACTGAATGGAGGCCAGTGGAGGGATTGGCAGAGAGGGGTGGAGGACACTGACATGGAGGCCAGTGGAGGGATTGGCAGAGAGGGGTGGAGGACACTGAGTGGAGGTAGAGGGATTGGCAGAGAGGGGTGGAGGACACTGAATGGAGGCCAGTGGAGGGATTGGCAGAGAGGGGTGGAGAACACTGAGTGGAGGTCAGTGGAGGATCACTGAAGGGGTGGAGGACACTGAATGGAGGCCAGTGGAGGGATTGGCAGAGAGGGGTGGAGGGAGGACACTGAATGGAGGCCAGTGGAGGGATTGGCATCACGAGGACACTGAATGGAGGCCAGTGGAGGGATTGACAGAGAGGGGTGGAGGACACTGACTGGAGGCCAGTGGAGGGATTGGTAGAGAGGGATGGAGAACACTGAGTGGAAGTCAGTGGAGGGATTGGCAGAGAGGGGTGGAGGACACTGAGTGGGGGCCAGTGGAGGGATTGGCAGAGAGGGATGGAGGACACTGAGTGGAGGCCGTGGAGGGATTGGCAGAGAGGGGTGGAGGACACTGAATGGAGGCCAGTGGAGGGATTGGCAGAGAGGGGTGGCAGATACAGAATGGTTAGTAGTAGGATGAGTCTGGCAGCAGCATTCATGATAGACTGAAGAGGGGATAGCCTGCAATGAGGTCGGCCAATGAGGAGGGAGTTACAATAGTCAAGGCGAGAGATAACAAGGGAGTGAATAAGTTGCTTAGTAGTTTCAAAAGTTAAGAACAGGGCATCTCTTGGAGATGTTGCAGAAAGGGTGAAGTCTACAAGATTAGGACAGTGATTGGATTTGGGGGAACTGAAAGGACAGATGGGAGTCTAGGATTACACCTAGTACCCTGGCATGAGGGGAGGGACTGATGGTTGTATTATTGATCTTGATGGAGAAGTCAGGGGAGGGGGCACGGGCTGGTGCTCAGTTTTGGAAAGATTGAGTTTGAGGAAGTGGAGTGACATCCATGCTGATATGTCACTTAGTAGGATTAGTAATGCGAGTGAGACTGAAGGGGTGAGGTGAGGAGGAGACTGAAGGGGTGAGGTGAGGAGGAGACTGAAGGGGTGAGGTGAGGAGGAGACTGAAGGGGTGGGGTGAGGGGGTGAGGTGAGGAGGAGACTGAGGGGTGAGGTGAGGAGGAGACTGAGGGGGAGGTGAGGAGGTGAGGAGGAGACTGAAGGGGTGAGGTGAGGAGAGGAGTAGAAAGATAGATTTGTGTGTCATCAGCATAGAGATGGTACTTAAAGCCATGGGAGTTTATCAATATCCCCAATATATCAATATGTATTCATTGTTAAACCATTTCATATAAATATATGTATGTGGAAATGGAATCTAGTAATATAAACCTGGATGACATAAGTAAGCAAGCATTCACTTCATGTAATACTAATAATAATACAATTGACATTTTTGGATCAGATATTCCTGTCACATAATAATAACACCATATACAATGTAAGGTATAATATGCACTCTTTCCAGGATCATGGGAAATAATCATTGTGACCAGTTCTTGTGTCCTTTGTTCAATCTAGACATGGACTCATCCATTTATCTTACCACTTGGTGTCATGTCTAGTCTTCATCTTGTAGCCGTCTGATCCCACCATACCTCCCCCCAGATTTATAACCTGGGAACATAAGCTGTAACCACCTTGGAATGCTCTTAGAATCTGTGTTCAGAAACCATGAAATAGAATATACAGAACAAAATGGCTTCCAGCATGTCCATGTAGAGATGATAAGTTCAGCCTTCCTGTTTCATTCTGTGAGCCCAGAACAGTTCCGACAACCTGGTGATCTACATTGGCTCATATCCCTGTGGGGTGGTAACCTGTAGGCACCTGCTGATCTACGATGGCTCATATCCCTGTGGGGCGATAACCTGTAGGCACCTGCTGATCTACGATTGGCTCATATCCCTGTGGGGGTGGTAACCTGTAGGCACCTGCTGATCTACGATTGGCTCATATCCCTGTGGGGTGGTAACCTGTAGGCACCTGCTGATCTATGATTGGCTCATAACCCTGTGGGGTGGTAACCTGTAGGCACCCTGATCTATGTTGGCTCATACCCCTGTGTATCCTGTGTATCAGATGATGATTGCAGCACTCCCAATGTTGTTCATGTAATGGAGTGCACAGTGTGTTCCATCCAAGAAGGGCAGCAAGGTAGAAGCCGGCAATTACAGGCCAGTGAGTCTAACATCGGTGGTAGTCAAGTTAATGGAATCACTCCTGAAAGGAAGGATCATTGATCATCTAGAAACACACAACTTGCTGGATCCAAAGCAGCATGGCTTTACTGAGGGCAGACCATGGCAGACTCATCTGATTGGACTTTTTGACTATATCACCAATGTTTTGGACCAGGGTGGTGCTGTGGACATAGAATATCTTGATTCAGCAAGGCATGTGATACAGTTCCACATAATGATCTAATACAGAAGTTGGACAAGCTAGGACTTAGCCCTTGGGGGTTCAGTGGATGTGCAGTTGGCTAAATGATAGATACCAGAGTGTGGTTGTAAATGGGGTTCACTCAGAACAGAGAGCAGTCACTAGTGGTGAACCCCAAGGCTCTGTACTGGGACCTGTTCTATGTAATCTATATGTAAGGGATAGAACTAAAGGGTTGTTGGGTAAGGGGATGTCTCTTTGCTGATGACACAAAGGTGTGTAATAGGGAGGATATCCCTGGAGGTGTCTGTAACATGGAACAGGATTTGGCATTGCAGGAAGATTGGTAAAAAAGTGGAAATTGCAGTTCAATATTTCAAATGTAAAATAATGCACCCAGGAAAAAAGAATCCCTTGAGAAAGTACAACATTGGAGGTACAGTGTTGTCCAGCACTTCAGAAGAAAAGGATTTTGGGTACTTATTTCAGATGATTGCAAAATGAACAAACAGCATGGCCAGGCAGTGGGGAAAGCGAATAGAATTCTAGGATGCATCACTAGAGGGGTCACCAGCGGGAGGAAGGTATGACAGAATGCGGCATCCGACCTCAGCCCTTCTCACCAACTCGTGACCGAAGGACCAGCCGATCTGCCACTTGCGTAACAATGCCACTCTCAGTGCGAACCCTGAACAAAGATTTTCCCTTGTGGGACTACAAAGATTTTTGTTACTGGTTAATTACCAGCTTGTGGGACTACAATCTATGTGCCAGCAGCCTGAGAGCGATTGTTACTGGTTAATTATGCAATTAACCCTTCTACACTGCCACAAAGATATAAAGAGAGCACCACCTTTTTACAGAATACTTGCAGGTTTGAGAGAAGGAGGAAACTCACAAATCTTAGCAGTAACACTATATGATAGAACAAATCCAATCCAGTTTGGGGATGGGTGTTAGGCGGTAACCAAGGTTATGACCAAATCCCTTACAATTTTATACTAAGGTCAATAACCTTCAATAGGTACAGGTAGCATCCTAGCAACTGGCAGATTAATATTTAGAAATATATTCTATACCAGGGGGCAGACTGACCATTTGGAAACTCGGGCACTGCCCGAGGGCTCGGGGGTGAGTAGGGGGCCCCATGAGATTCCCCTGGTACCTTTTTCATAGGCTTTTTTGAGTTTGGGCAAGGACACAGGGGCCCCATGATCCCCTATTGCCCAGGGGCCCCATGAGTTGTCAGTTCACCGCCCCTGTTCGAACACAAAGATACCAAACATAGCATACCCTTGTCACCCAGGAGGAAAGAGACTGCTTCTTCTCTCTTGTAGGCACTAACATAGTAATGTAAGGTCTTGTGTGACTCATATTAAAATGATCTATCTGTATATATACTTCATATTAATGTGCCCAGTTCCTGCTGAAGTTTATAAATTGTATGAAAAATGACTCTTGTGGAATGTACGTTTTATGGCACGCTCTGCCCTAATAGCCTAACAGGTCATGACTGACTGAGTTATTGTTTTACATCAGGGCAGAGGGAAGTGGTTTTCCAGCAAACCCCCTGGAACCAGACTAATTAGAGGTTTACAGCCCTGGAGCTGATCTATCTGTGTTTTATTTAGGATAAGAGATCCTGTTGACCTCCGTCACCTTGTAGCTATGCATTCCATGGACAAAGGGGGAGGGAGGACAGGAGAGAACATGGCTGAAACCTAACAAGATGGCTGTCATGTACAACGTCTATGCCTCTATTGCACACAATCATCATCACAGAAGGAGGAGGTCCTGATTCCTCTATATAGATCTTTATATTGCTAGAGGGGTCACCGGCAGGAGGAAGAAGGTCCCGATTCCTCTATATAAATCTTTATATCACTAAAGGGGTCACTGGCAGGAGGAAGGAGGTCCTCATTCTATATAGATCTTTATATCACTAGAGGGGTCACCGGCAGGAGGAAGGAGGTCCTGATTCCTCTATATAGATCTTAATATCACTAGAGGGGTCACCGGCAGGAGGAAGGAGATCATGATTCCTCTAGATAGATCTTTATATCACTAGAGGGGTCACCGGCAGGAGGAAGGAGGTCCGATTCCTCTATATAGATCTTTATATCACTTGAGGGGTCACCAGCAGGAGGAAGGAGGTCCCGATTCTCTATATAGATCTTTATATCACTTGAGGGGTCACCGGCAGGAGGAAGGAGGTCCCGATTCCTCTATATAGATCTTTATATCACTAGAGGGGTCACCGCAGGAGTCAAGAGGTCCCGATTCCTCTCTATATAGATCTTTATATGTCACTGCAGAAGGTCACCAGGGAGTGTTGAGACATCTGATTCCTTGGTATATAGATCTTTCTTTCATGTGCTCAAGGGGTCTTTTGCAACCTCTGCACCATGTAACCAAGGCAGTTATGATTGATTGCAGAAGGACCCCTATTGCAGAGGCCTCTGACTTTTGGTAGACTCTCATCATTGGCTCTGACTGGTACTGTCATGTACCTGATGGGGGACTGAAATGATGAGGTCGGCCTTTACTTGTGTCACTAGCCCTGACCCCACTGGAAGAGGAACAGAGGGTGTCTAGGGACCAGGGGGACAAGAGCGCCAGCAGCAGGTGTTGTTTGCAGCTCTTGCAGTTGGAGACTTTGGAAGACTGATGAACCTCCAATTGAGGCACAGTAGTGATATGCAGAGCTGGTATGGTAGATCACCAGGTGTGCACCAGAGCAAGGCAGGAAGCAGGCATGGGAGACAGGAGCAATGTCATAGGAATAGCCGGGGTCATTAATGGGCGGACAGCAAGGTACCAAATCATAAGCAAGCCAAAGTCAGGAGCAGAGCCGAAGTCAGGAACCAGTATCAAGCAGGGGAGTAATCAGAGTCAGGTCAGGAACAAGCCGGGTCAGCAACAAGGAAATCACACACAGGAACGAGCAGGAAACAGGGAACAGCTGAAGACCAGTCAGCACTCAGCACAGGCAAAGGCACCTTTTAAATAGTCCACCTGGAGCCAATCTTCACCGTGCATGATCGTGCATTTCTGTGCACATGCGCACGTCTAATCACCAGCCGTCTCACGGGAATTCCCTTACAGAGGGGTCACCGGCGAGAGGAAGGAGGTCCTGATTCCTCTATATAGATCTTTAAATCACTAGAGGGGTCACCAGCAGGAGGAAGGAGGTCCCGATTCCTCTATATAATCTTTATATATCACTAGAGGGGTCACCGGCAGGAGGAAGGAGGTCCTGATTCCTCTATATAGATCTTTATATCACTAGAGGGGTCACGGCAGGAGGAAGGAGGTCCCGATTCCTCTATATAGATCTTTATATCACTAGAGGGGTCACCGGCAGGAGGAAGGAGGTCCTGATTCCTCTATATAGATCTTTATATCACTAGAGGGGTCACCGGCAGGAGGAAGGGTCCCGATTCCTCTATATAGATCCTATCACTAGAGGGGTCACCGGCAGGAGGAAGGAGGTCCTTCCTATATATAGATCTTTATATCACTAGAGGGGTCACCGGCAGGAGGAAGGAGGTCCCGATTCCTCTATATAGATCTTTATATCACTAGAGGGGTCACCGGCAGGAGGAAGGAGGTCCCGATTCCTCTATATAGATCTTTCTATCACTAGAGGGGTCACCAGCAACCTCATTTAGAATACTGTGTCCAGTTCTGGAGACCTCACTTACATAAAGGTATTGATAAGATAGAACGAGTCCAGAGACGGGGAATACAAATAGTGATATCAGGAGAGACTTCAGGGAACGTAACATGTCCAGTCTGGAGGAGAGAAGGGAAAGGGGAGACATGACTGAAACTGTTTAAATACAACAAGGGAGTGAATAGGGTTCAGGAGGGCAGGATTTTCAATATGAAAACCAAAATGAAGAACACGGGACATGACCTCCAACTAACTGGAGGAAAGTTCACAACTAATCTCAGAAAGTATTATTTTACTGAAAGAGTAGTTGATGCTTGGAATAAATTTCCAGTAGAGGTAGTGAGCCAGAGACAAATCACAGAGATCATCACAATAGTACACAATGAATGGTTATGAATGAAAGCCATTCATTGTGTACAACTGTCATATGATCACTGTGATTGGTCATAGCAATCACATGGTACTGGGCTGGCCTGGTACAATGATCTGTCATCTGGTGGACACAGCAGGTGACATATCAAGATATAGCAGAGTCGCTAGACTTGGAGGACTTCATATGATGTCCACCCAGATGGGAGAGATCCCGCTCAGCTGTCATTCTGCTATAGGCCGGTGGGAAGCAATTCATTACAGGGGACACTGTACAGGTTCTATATGTAGTCTCGGGGGTCCCTGTGGAAGTCCATGTGTGGACATTTCTACCTATGATAAATGACAGGCTAAACCCACCTGGAGACTTTCTCCACACCTTTTTTTTTAACCAAAAAGATCTGTTTTGGAGGTTTCTGTTTTTTATGTATTTTGTTTTTATCTGGTGTTCTGTGTCTTTAAGACTTTTCTATCTGTAGTAAAATATATTATATAAACAGTTGGTTGCATAAGAGTTAGGTTTATTGTTTCTTACTTTTTTTAGTTCTTTTTGATCTTCCCTGGTATCCCTGTAAGGTAGATACAATGCAGGAATGGTTATTAGGGGACGTTTCTCGGGCTGCAGTTCCTCTGAACTCCACAAGATGGTGATCTCATTTCTCCCCAGACAGGACTTCTCTATGGAATACAGACAGGAAGTGATGTCAGGTACAGACAGGACATTCGGAGAGGTGAGTGGGAAGGAAGCAGATCAGTGACATTGGTGAACGTGGCAGCAGAGGAGGTAATAAGATGTTATTTCCTATTTACACCCAGTAACCTCCCCGTCTTGTCCGTTCTCTTCCTCCATAGTCCTGTCCATCCTCTTCCTCCATAGTCACGTCCGTCCTCTTCTCCATAGTCACGTCCGTCCTCTTCCTCCATAGTCACGTCCGTCCTCTTCCTCCATAGTCACGTCCGTCCTCTTCCTCCATAGTCACGTCCGTCCTCTTCCTCCATAGTATCTGTCCGTCCTCTTCCTCCATAGTCAATGCTCCATAGTCACGTCCGTCCTCTTCCTCCATAGTCACGTCCGACCTCTTCCTCCATAGTCACGTCCGACCTCTTCCTCCATAGTCACGTCCCTCCTCTTCCTCCATAGTCACGTCCGTCCTTTTCCTGCATAGTCACGTCCGTCCTCTTCCTTCATAGTCACGTCCGTCCTTTTCCTGCATAGTCACGTCCTCCTCTTCCTCCATAGTCACGTCCGTCCTCTTCCTCCATAGTCACGTCCGTCCTCTTCCTCCATAGTCACGTCCGTCCTTTTCCTGCATAGTCACGTCCGTCCTTTTCCTCCATATAGTCACGTCCGTCCTCTTTCCTCCATAGTCACGTCCGTCCTCTTCCTCCATAGTCACGTCCGTCCTCTTCCTCCATAGTCACGTCCGTCCTCTTCCTCCATAGTCATCTCCGTCCTCTTCCTCCATAGTCACTGTGACGTCTTTTATCTCCAGCAGATGATGATACACACATATATAGTGTGGGAACCCAGATGAACCCCTTCAGGGGCAGAATCACATAGATTTATCCTCCTGCGCTCTTATGGTAAACAATAGAATAAGCTAGAAAGCAGCCAGCATCTGTCCCATACCAAGCGAAGGCAATATGAATATAATATGTGGGAACCCAACTTTTATATTATATTCATATTGCCTTCAGGGGCAGAACATTCACTTCCGGGGCCGGAACATTCTCCTCATTGTGGAGATAAATTCTAGTAATATGGTCCTCTAAACAAACAGCACTGACAATAAATAGACAAGACAAGGACCATCCTGACCATACATGGCCTACAAAGGGCAATGATGACACTACACAGGCAGCCAATGGGCAATCATTACACTATGCAGCCAACACAATGATGGAGTGCCGGGGTCAGGAGTATGGAGCATAGAGCCCCTTACATTGCTGCTCAGGAGGAAGGAAACATTCCCCAGCCGGCCATGAAGAATATGTTCCATCATTGGTGTCAGAGGGAATTCTGGGACATTCTCCAGTAACAAACAAGGGATGTGTCTGGATGGTGACTGTATCATTGTGTGTGTCAGGTTCCTATAAGGTGTCAGGGTGTCACTGTCTATTTCTCCATGGAGGAGTGGGAGTATTTAGAAGGACACAAGGATCTCTACAAGGACGTCATGATGGACAATCAGCCGCCCCTCACATCACCCGGTAAGAGGAGACTTTATTGTAAAGGAGAGAGAGCAGTACGGAGGATCCACCTAGATCCCCCATCATCTGATAAACACATAGAAACAATGGATTCAGTCAGTGTGTGTGTTTCCTACAGATGGATCCAGTCATGGGAACCCACCAGAGAGATGTCCCCGTCCTCTGTATTCCCGGGATTCCACACAGGAAGATCACACCATCCCTCACTGTTACAAGGTTGGTGGGATGGAGCATCTAGAACATGGACTCATAGAGACAATGTGTGGAGTTTTTTTATGTGACCTTACATTTTACAGATGATATTTTCTCTCATTTCCTTGATTTAGAGTGGAGATCCAATCGATATAGAATTTGAGGTGAAAGCAGAAGAAGAAGAGGCGTATGTGAGGGATGATCAGCAGTCTATGGAGGAGGATGGAATAACGGGGACATTTATAGAGGAGGACACTCCTACAGAGATCAGCACAGGTGGGTCATGAACACTAAATCCATTCCTCCACCCATACTGCTCACTGATTGGTTCAGAGTAGGGCGGGGACTGGGTGATATCAGCCTGTAATCCCCTGGTCACTTTCCTGAGCTGTGTTCCCCGTTCTGTATTCCTGGATTTCTCTCGGATAATCTTCCTTCTCTGTGCTGCAGACACAATTTATGTATCTAGACTGGATTTATGGAGGTTCTGGGGTTCAGCTGGCAGCAAAAATGTTGATTTTTACATGTGACATGGGGTCTCCTGCCTTGTGCCTGACTCTTCCAGGGGACCTTCTCTGTTATCTGCTGGCTGTGCCGGGTGGAGGGATATGTCTGTAGTGTCTCAGACCCAAGTCACTGAGTGCAGTCTCAGGAGATGGGAGGCAAGCAACCCTTTAAGGACCTTTAATTACTGAATACCAATATTATCAGTCCTGACCATTACACTATATAACTTATATTGTACATTAAAATACTCCTGACCCCTGCACTATATACTCTATGTTGTACATTACATAGTCCTGACTTCTGCTCTCCCTCCTCCCCCCCATTGCTATATATACACATAATATGGATTCTCTTTGTTACACCCATTTCCTACCAGCTGGACATTTTCCAACTTTGGACCCTTAAACAGAAAGTGATAATGAGGGCAGAGTCAATGCCCCATGATGGTGGTCTTCAGGATCAGTCCAGTCTTCATCTTGGTTGTTCTTCCCCCATCCTCACTCTCTGACCTCTGGTGGGGCTCAGCCCCGCTGTTCTTCATGACTAAATCATGGACTAAATAAGGAAGTGCAGTACTTCTTGTGTTGGGAAGATGGCGATGAGTGATAGAGGGGGTGGGGACCCTCATCCTATAATCCCCTCATCACTGTCCCTCCTGAAAAAAAAAACAGTTTCTGGTAGTTTCCTCACTCTCTGACTAAGGTCCATGAATAAAGAAATGACCTGGTAGGAGATCAGAGGAGCCATTTCCTAGTTCCCTTGAGTGTGGAATTGTAAGCTCCTCAGAGACCAAGTTGCCTGATGTGGGCGGAGTCCTGGTTTGCGGGGAACCAATCAGCTCCTGTCTAGTAATCCTCTTTGTCTTTGTATTTTAGTCCATGGCCGGGAGATGAGGAAAACCTCTGAGGATTGTCTCACTTTGTCTCCAGACTGGAAAGTAGAAGATGAGGACATCACACAGTATAGTCCAGGAGAAAACCCGGCTCCCTCCAATGTCCATCCGGCACCACCCAGTGTAGATGGACCATCGGATTCCTCGTATCCTGAGGAACCTCAGACTGTGCAGAACCGGGCCGACCTTCCAACAGGGAAGAGCTTCTCCTGTACTGAGTGCGGGAAATGTTTCAGTTATAAATCCCATCTTAATGTGCATAAAAGATCTCACAGGGGGGAGAGAAGCCATATTCTTGTCCTGAGTGTGGGAAATGTTTTTCAGTGAAGTCCAGTCTTTACAGACATCAGAGATCTCACACGGGCGAGAAGCCATATTCCTGTTCTGAGTGTGGGAATGTTTTTCACTGAAGTCCCAACTTTACCCACACCAGAGATCTCACACGGGGGAGAAGCCATATTTCTGTCCTGAGTGCGGGAAATGTTTTTCACAGAAGTCTCATCTTTACACACATCAGAGATCTCACACAGGGGAGAATGCATATTCCTGTTCTGAGTGTGGGAAATGTTTTACAAGGAAGTCCAATCTTTACATACACCAGAGATCTCACACGGGGGAGAAGCCAGTTTCCTGTTCTGAGTGTGGAAAAAGTTTTTCAGAGATGTCCGGTCTTCATAAACATCAGAGATCTCACACTGGGGAGAAGCCGTATTCTTGTCCTGATTGCGGAAAATGTTTTTCACAGAAGTTCAGTCTTCATCAACATCAGAGATCTCACACGGGGGAGAAGCCGTATTCCTGTCCTGAGTGCGGGAAATGTTTTTCAGACAAGTCCAATCTTTCCAGACATCAGAGATCTCACACAGGAGAGAAGCCGTATTCCTGTCCTGTCCTGAGTGCGGAAATGTTTTTCATGGAAGTCCAGTTTTTACACACATCAGAGATCTCACATGGAGAAGAAGCCACTTTCCTGTCCTGAGTGAGGGAAATGTTCCTCACTGAAGTCCGGTCTTCCTGTACATCAGGGGTCCCACACAACCCTGGAGGTGTATTAGTGCCTTGAGTGCGGGAAATGTCTTCTAGATGAATGTTGCTGGACATCCCAGCTCTCATGTGGGGAAGAAGCACACCCTGATATACACCTCAGATATACTCCATGGCTGATCTTCATCATGGAAGAAACAGTTGATAAGGAGATGAGAGGTCCCCAAAGACATGGATGAAGTGCAGTAAATGTCGGGGTGCAGAGTGGTCAGTAGATCCTGGAAATGAAGGACACAACTTCAGCCCTTCTTGGGTGTCGGAGTTGCGTTTCCTGATAATGATATAGCGGGTTACAGAGCTAGAAGCTGGGAGAGCCCAGATCTCGTTATCGGGGAACTTTACACAGACAACAGGAACTTCTGAAGTTGATGTCCTTCATTTCAAGGCTCTACAGAACAGTGGTGACCCCGAAGCGTCTCTCTGTCTTCAGTCCATCCTTCTCCCATCCCCCAACAGGAGGGAAGGAGAACTCCGCCCCAAACTAGGGGGGAACTTTCCTCTCATTATTTTGGCTTCCGAGTGGGTTTGGGTGGTTGGAGGACGGCACGAGAGGGAACACAGCTTGTTCTATGTCTACATATGGGGTCCGGGTAGAGGGGATCCACCGGAAAATATTTCTACTCTTTGATTTTGTTCAAATCGTTTCTGTTTTCACTTTGAAGGGCGATATTATGTGTGGTTTGTAAAAGGGATTGGCCCAATAGTTACCACCCCACTTAGAGAAATAGATGAACTAATATGACCAGCATTCATTCAGCCATGTCACATGTTGGGATCTTTTCTACAATACTTTGTTATAATAATGGAACACGTTGTGTATTGTATTGTACACCAATAATAATGACTCCGCCCCCACATTCCAGACAAGGGATCTTCCTGACCAATCAGATTCCTTCTTTTACCGTTTACTGATTTTTTTCTGCAATCTTGTTAAAAGTGAAATTATAATAAAAAAATGTATTGAATGAAAACAAAATGGTGTGTGTGTGCAATGATGACAAAGCTGTGTATCCAGAAACGGGCTGGTCGGTGACACTTCCATATACAGCCCAATGAAGTGACAAGGAAGCCCTAGAACCCTTTGGAGGAACCCTGGCTGAGAAAGGCTGGACTAGGCAGTCACATATCTCTGCCCCCCTTGCAGGGTTCCCAACCCTCCGTGACTTTTATTACTGACACAACATGAACATTTACTGACGGAGGACATGTTTTTCCTGACATCCTGAAAAATGACAGAACTCCTGTTAGGATGTCAGACGATGGATATTGAATCCATATAACAGGACATGTGATCACTGACAATCCCCAGAACAAGCCATCTGCCTGGTTTACACCTAATAATTCAATCCATGGTGACCACAAATCAGCCCAACGCAGACACATGAAAACCAAGTTCTGCTCGGCATGCCATGGAGAGTAATGGGCACGGTCAGATGGGAGGGGCTTAGAAGAGGATGATGTCACAGACCCGCCCCCTGATCACCTACCTCTAAATGAAGAAAGCAGCTGATTGGGTGAGTACACATTGCTGTGACCTCCATGCTTAGCTTCACAGTGCGGCAATGTTACCTTCACATGCCGAGTCTCACAGGTGGCACCGCCTGTCATCCATTGTGCTGAAATGTCATTGCAGCAACTCAGAATGGTCCTCAGTAGTCTGTATGGCCCCCATGTGCTTGTATGCATGCCTGACAATGTCGGGGGAGGCTCCTAATAAGATATCACCAGCAATACTCCCATCATCCATCCACTACACATCTGCATCAGAGGCTGGTCAGGATCTCTGATTAAAGGGATTCATCCCCGAAACGCGTCAGCCATTTGACCGCACTGACACTTGGAACACCTTGCTTGCCGTTGTGGCCATCGTCATTATGCAAATGATTTTTAGATACATGCTTCACCTGTGAGTCTGGTTTTATTTTTCACTCCTTCCAATAATCCTTGGATAATGCACAAGGTGTGTGCGCACCTGTTTATTCTCTATCTAGTCAACGACAACAACCTCCTCGATCCCCTACAGTCCGGCTTCCGTCCCCTACACTCCACCGAAACTGCCTTACTCAAACTCTCCAACGACCTGCTAACCGCCAAAGCTAATGGCCACTATTCAGTGCTCCTACTCCTTGACCTCTCTGCGGCCTTCGACACAGTCGACCACCCCCTCCTCCTCAACAAACTACACTCCCTCAGGCTCAGAGATTCTGCTCTCTCCTGGCTCTCATCCTACCTGTCACAACGCTCCTTCAGCGTTACCTATAATGCTACCACCTCCCCCTCACTCCCCCTCTCTGTTGGGGTCCCTCAAGGCTCTGTCCTCGGGCCCCTTCTCTTCTCCATCTATACCTCCTCCCTTGCCAACTCATACACTCTCACGGCTTCAACTACCACCTCTATGCCGACGACACACAAATCTATCTCTCAACCCCCCACCTCACCCCCTTGGTCTCAGCCCGAATCACACACCTACTGAGCGACATATCAGACTGGATGTCGCTCCACTTCCTTAAATTGAACCTCTCCAAAACCGAGTTTCTTGTCTTCCCCCCAGCCCGGACACCACCCCCCATTGATTTCTCCGTCACATCCAACAACGCTACCATCAAACCCGCCCCGCAGGCCAGAGTACTGGGTGTCATTCTGGACTCCAACCTATCCTTCCAGCCCCAAGTCCAATCTTTAACAAACTCGTGCAGACTCCACCTCCGCAACATCGCCAAAATCCGCACGTTCCTAACCCCAGAAACCACTAAACAGCTCATCCACTCCCTCATCATATCACGACTCGACTACTGCAACTCCCTCCTCACTGGCCTGCCTCGCCGCTGGCTATCCCCGCTTCAGTCCATCCTGAATACGGCTGCCAGACTCATTCACCTTTCCAACCGCTCCATCTCTGCCACCCCCCCCTCTGCCAATCCCTCCACTGGCTTCTGATTGTGCAACGGATCAAATTCAAAATCCTAACACTGACGTTCAAAGCCGTCCACCATACTGCCCCGAACTACATTACTGACCTAATATCCAAGTACCACCCAGCACGCACACTCCGCTCCTCACAAGACCTCCTTCTCTCTAGTTCCCTGGTCTCCTCCTCCCATGCCCGCCTCCAGGACTTCTCCAGGGTGTCACCCATCCTCTGGAACTCCCTGCCCCAACCCATCAGATTATCACCTACTCTCCTCTCCTTTAGGCGCACCCTGAAAACCCATCTCTTCAGGGAAGCCTACCCCACCCCCTGCTAACTTGCCGACCTCCTCCACTCTTCCTACCACTCCATCCCCCACAGCTATCTCCTCCTGTGCCACCATCCCCTCCCTCCTAGATTGTAAGCTCCAAAGAGCAGGGCCCTCGATCCCCTCATGTATTGTATTGTATTGGTATTGTTCTGTCACATGTTCTGTCCCCCTCTGTAATGTACAGCGCTGAGCGAACTATTGGCGCTTTATAAATACTGTATAATAATAATAATAATAGTGGCTGATCTCCCTGTCTGAGGGGCTGCACCCCTGAAGCATTTCCTTTGGTTGTCGCTGTCCTGGTTCCCTTGGCTTCCCTTTTGGCTGTGCATATCCTGAGGCGCTGGAGACTACATACGATATCCCGTTTGGTTGCAACCTGGTGGCGTCGGATGGACCAAAACATGATATCCTAGAGGTGTTCTGTTGGATTTAGGTCAGGTAAGTGAAAGGATTGATTTTCTTTTATCCCCTCAGAGACCCCCGGTCTGTGGAGAGATTCCTGGTTTATCAGCAGAATTCTGGGAACACCCCTTGAACACGGAAATAACGGCAGCTTATGTTCAGAGATGTTCAAAGTTTATTAGACATTACTAAGATTATATAGGATACAGAAATAATAAGGGAGGGGGGAGCGAGTTCTAAAATTGTAATTGTAAGTTTCCATCATGAGCTGACTACATGAAACATGACATATACATTTCTTGGTATAAACTGTTTTTGCTAGCTTTCTGAGAAATAGCCGAGCAAAGAAAACTTCAGGGTCATGTTATCTTTTGTTGGTACATCCTTCAGCAAACTAAAACAGTTCCATTAAACTTCTAATATATCTGCAAAAAGCTAACTTAATACTTAAAATGGCGTACATCAACAGAATGGAGGTTCTCTAGATCCTTTCAATCCCCTCTTAGATCATGAACATGACCTCAATTCTTTACTTCATTCATCTTTTTGTACATAGCCAGATAACCTTCATTTGTATTTTGCGGCTTGGTAGCTCTAGCAATGCAATATAATAAGCATTTAAAACATAGATATATAAAAATAAAACAAAAAACAATATCATGACTATTCTTACAGCGATACCTTTCATCCATGAAAAGACGGAACCAAATCCTGATCCTAGCCAATCAAAAGGAGTCCATCCATCTTTTCCTATAGCTCTAGCTTCTTCCATCAAACCATCTACCTGTTCCCTGTGTTGCTTTATTATTTCATAATAATCTGGAACAGTCATTGTGGTATTATATATCCAAGTACAACATTCAGAATCCTCTGTCATCTCACACAGACCTGTCAGAGCAGCACTCATGCTTTCAATAGCTAATTCTGGCATCTCCAGCTGTTCTCTAATAGCTCTGGTCTCGGTATTTAGCAACCCCATGTCCTTAGAGTTCCTCTCCAGTATATCATCAATAATGTTTGTGTCATTATTTATTTTGTTCATGAGTGTTATTCCCCATCCCGTGTAGGTAGGGAACCATGACCAAACCTTATCACCTGTAGAGAACAGATCTACCTTTTCTTGTTTGGTTTCCCTTCTCTGTCTCAGAGTTTTAGTTGGTGTTTTGGGTATGTACTGGCTTTTACCTGGTGTTCCTTCTGGTCTATAGCTGCCATGATTGGCACTAATTGGGCTACATAGCACCAGCCCTGGACATTACTCGGTATCCAAGGGTAACAGATCTTACCACAA